GCTTGAGTAGTTTATAATTTAACTAACGGATTGTCTTGAAGTATTTACTAAATTGTTTTTTTTTTTTTTAGTTGCTATTGTAGTGTTTTAATTAAGGCTACAGCGCGCTAATGTTAATCAATTAATAGTTATTGCTTCTATTTATTAATTTTTTTTTCAAAAGAATACAAATTTTGAATTGCAAAGGAATTAAATGTATGTACAAAGCCAGTTCTAAATTTATTTTTTTTTTTTCAAATTTACTAAATATCTACTAACTACAAATTTTACTGCAAAAAATATGCCAACTAATTGTGGAAAGTATCATCTAACTGCGCAATTCAAAAAGCTGAAAGGACTCGGTTCGTCGAAGGCTGCGCGGCGAATGAGCCCTTTCCAAACGGCTCGTAGTGCAGCGTAAATTGTAAAAGAATTATATAGTTAATGTACTTATACTATATGGATTGTATAAAATGCTACAAACAAAACAACTACTATGGGTGTGAATTGCAAACGCTAATGTGAGTGGGAGAAATTGTATGAAAAATATAGTGGAAGAGAAAAAGAAAGAATGTGAAATAGTAAATGAGTGTAACTAACCAGCTGGTTAGTTGAAGTGAAATAGAAACGCATAAAGCAGAATTATCAAAGAGAGTGTGTGTGAGAGAGAGAGAGAGAGGGTAAAGGAAAGTACAAAGGATAATAGATAGGAAGTAAGAGAGTTGGAAGAAGAAAAGAAAAACAAAGATATTGAAATTTAAATTAGAAAGAATTAATAAAGCAAAAATCAGCTGAAAAATTAAGGATGTAAGAGTAAGAGAAGTAGAAATATTTAGTGTTGAAATAAAGAGAGAAAATATAATGTAGTATAAAAATATGAATTTATGAATTTTTTTTTTAATTTTTCTCTGTTACTACGTGTGCAAGAATGTATGATTTGGTGCAATTGAATTGATTGAAATTGAAACTGTTGCTACTTACTGGTATCAAAATTTGACGAATAGTATTGTTGATTGGTCGTTTTTTGGTCTTTAATTTGCAGAATAAGGCGGCGATTCTCCTTATCGTAGTTTTGAGTGAGGGCGCATTGCACTAATATGCAAGCGATGGCCTGCGGGTAGAGAAAGAAATTAGTTGAAATATGTGATTTGATTTAAATACATACGAAAATAAAGTTAGGTTAGACTAGATGTTGATAATATACATATACATAAGTTTATGATAACTTATTTATAAGTATATATGTATGGGGGATTCTGGAACATAAAAGGCTATAGTTATTATTTCGGCTGCTAAAAGAACCAACACGTGAAATATTTATAGAGATGTGGCGTATTTGCCAGTAGTGACGATTACAATTTCAGGGATACTCGCCTGATGCCATTGAATAAAATATGACCTACAACCACTGACTTATAGGTGGATAAGGCCGTTGTTATGGCCTTCTTGGCAGGCACCCCTACATTGCGCCGTCAGGTTAGATTTCGGTACAGAATGACGCCCAGTAATCTGACTTCCTCTGAGGGAGGCTGCCTGGCATTTATTTAACGAGGCAGCTGGAGCTGGTCTACTTTCGATTTCTCTGAGTTCCGTTCCTCTGGACCAGGTCTCTACCTCCTAAAAGGCGTTTTGTACTAGACCGCAGAAAACTCTACCGTCAGCGAGAGATCATCAGCGTAGGAACCTGTCTAGCTCCAGTAAACATGCTAACTGCTAAGCAATTTATTCATATCAATTTTCTGTCGAATCTGCATATCCAGTAGTGAGATCCGCGAAAACCCCCCCAAATCTAGATCTTCACATGCTACTTACATACATAACTCATGAAATTTCACAACATTGTGTAAGAGTAATTTTACCCGAGAGTAGTGTTAAAAAAAAATTATGCAACAAATACCGTTAACAAATCGTTCAAAATGCAATTAATATTAGAAAAAATGGTTTCACACTTTTTCCCAAACTAAATTACCAATATAAAGACGAGCCATGACTGAAGCCACCACACAGCCATGATGTTGGCTGACAGCTGCGTTGAATAGTTAGCTGATTCGTGTTGTTAAATAACTAATGGGTGTGTTGAACTTTTTGTAACCACTTTGAATGGATCTGTTTGAAAACAAAAAAAAAAAACGAAAAATTCAAACACGTCAAATATGCGCAAAAGAAAAACGCCCACAATTGTAAAAGAAATATTACATGCAGACACACACAGACAGACGAAGGCAAAACCGCCAGTTTCTTACGAAAATGGAGCGCACATAAGCGGATGTGCGAAGCAAATAACAAATAAATATTTTTCTAAATGCTTTTATTGCAACACAAGGTAGCCCACTACTCGAACAAGATGTCAACTTGTCACTTGAAACGCGTCCGATTCAACTGTGCGCCTCAACGGTAAATGCAGGTTTTTTATATGTATTTACTAAGAGAAGATTTTGTTGGCAAAAAAAATTTAAGAAATACTTAGTATTTCTTGGCTGATTTAAAAAACAAATATGACGTAAGGATGAACGTGAATTCGAGCAGTTATTAAGTAAGTGTAGGTGTGTGTGTACGAAACATGCATACATGTGTACATAAAAATTTATTGTGTACATATACACATATATACAATTCTTAAGCGGACTAAGGAAAGTCAGTTCAAATTGAGAAGAACTATGAAATTTGAAAAGCAAAATTAAGCAGGTTTGGAAATGTTCAGCTTATTTGGTATTTCTGTGCTTGTTAGGGCTACCAAGGACCTGAAAAGAAAAAAACTTATATAAATGTTTACTTGAGTAAATACTAAGGTATTTGGGAGTACTAAAATATTTCCCATATTTCTACAAACCAAAAAGGTACAAGAATAGAAAAAATTGTCGATATTTTTTTCTTCCTTCCTTGTTTTAGGGGTTGATAATATAATGAAATGCTTCCAGATTTTTGGCACGTTTCAAAACGTTTCAAGATTTTCTTGAATTCTTTGTGATATGTTTCGGGATCCTTCGTATTGTTTCTTTTGGAATTATTTTCAGAAACTTGTGAAATTTTTTTGGAAGTTTTCGGGATTTTCATGTTTTTTTTTTTTGGGATCCTCAGGATCTTTCGAAATATTAAAAAAAAAAGTCGAATCGTTGTCTGATTTGTCGTGACTCGTGTTTTGCTATTCAGAATTTTTTAAGAACTTTGGCATTTTACTAGAATATTTCTTTACTTCATCAGAACTTTTCGGTATTTTTTGGGAACCTTGAGGGTTTTGTCGAAACCTTTCAAGATTTTCTTGTGTTTCTTTTAGACTTTCTTCGGTATTTTTCGTGTTTTACTTTGCAATTTTTTTAGAAAGTTTTAAAAATTTTAGAAAATTTTCTGACCTTATTTTGATTTGTAAATTTTTTCCAAGACTTTTCCTCACTTTTTCCGAACTTTTTGAGATTCTTTGTGTTATAAATTTCGGCATATTTTGGTATTTTTCGGACATTTTCGGAGTTTCTCCGTGTTATATTTTTCGGCATTTTTCGAAACCTTTCAAGATTTTTTCGTGTTTTACTTTCAGAACTTTCTGAGGACCTTGACAATTTTTTCGAGACTTTTCTTGAACATTTAAGGGCTTTTCGGAATTATTTATGTTCTATTTTTGGAACTTTCAAGGCTTATGTGGATTACTTTTGCATCCAGTATTTCTTTTTTTTTTACTTGGCACTACAACCAACCATAGATTTGTGCCGATACCGATTTGGTGACCGATTTAGTGAAGCCAAAATTACTAAATAAGTGAAAGCGTTAATAAGTTAAGGTTACTATTCCACTCAATATTTAGTACTGCGCAAATAATTTAAAAAAAAAAGTATTTAAAATACTCACAGCCGCCTAAAATACATAAAAAACATAGCAGGTACTTAATTATTTACTACAACATAAATACCAAAGTAATTTTATACTTATGACTTAATACTTAGTAAATACAATTTTTCCCATCACGGATTTGTTCGTTTTAGTATACAATATTTTGTAGATCATCCGAGAATTAAGCAATATTTGATTTCTTGCTCTACCAAACTTGTTTTATATTTATGAAGAGTGAGCTGATGTTAAATGTATGTATGTGCGTTTACTTATTCGTATGTCTGTGTTAGCGTATAAACTTACAAATATTTTTGCAAATATATTCACACTTACTCACATAAACGCCAAAGCTAAGCCCCTGGTGAAGAGCAAGATTTTTGCAAACAAGTTCAAATTGGATTTTCAGTTGAAATGCTACTGTTGCTAATTGCTGAAATTTTAAGCAAACTAGACGTTGGCTGTTAACAAAAAAATAGCATTTCAAGCGAGCAGTATGCAGTTTAAGTAATGCAATTGCAAGCATTTTCATTTAATTCATTCTTTTTTTTTGTTTCTTAGTTCCTCGAAATTTACGCTTTTAAAGCCTACCAAAAACATTTTACCCATCCAAATATGCCTTTACACACATATTCAGATGTGCATGCACACATGTATATACAAATGTATGTAGGTACATTAAGGTGCCTCAACAAAAAATTTTGCAGGTTTTCCAACCTAATTAAAAAATTTAGTGTACTTCGAGACTTGTAACAAAAAATTTCAGCAAAAATATTTGGATTTCGGTGAGCTGGCCGATTCGAAAATATCTCCAAAAATCTCCTTATATTTAACATTTAAACATTTTTCTGCATACCTTTTAACCTTAAACTCTTCTATCATGCGAATGTTCGACTTTATCAATCCAGCTCACATAAATCTTAGTATTTTTCCAAAATATATTGCCTTCTATATAATAACTTTTATGATTTCGGTGGAAAAACAATCAATATTAATTTTTTTTTTATGAAGGGTAATGCACTCTAATGTTCATACACACGTTTGTATGCTTGTATTTACAGACTGCTTTTGGAATGGCAGCAATTAAAATCGAGTTATTGCGTTTAATGTTTATGCAAATTTTTGGTGATTGCAATGTTGGAATTTTTCATTTTCCTCTTCAATATCTTTGCATCTCGAGTACCTAACATCTCTAAATTTTGATTTTTTTTTAATTTTTCTTTGTTTGTGTGCGTAGTTTGTGCATAAATAGCATCTTCGCATTGCATCAGTGTCTTTGCTTTTTGCGTAACTGCTGCTTAATGTCTGGTAAATCGGTTAATATTTCCAAATTAAGCTCTTAAAACGAATGACGTACTAATTGGGCAATGAATCTATGTCTATGTTTGTTAAGTTAAGTTTATTTTGCAACTGAGAACTGCTTGAATATTCTATATAGGAAACTGAGGCAGCGTGACAAATGATTTTTACACTGTAGCTGGTTCTTACAAGTTACGAAAATTTTTAATCTGGTAACATTGTTCTTAATGGTGACGAAGAATAACTCTGGAAAATGGGTTGACGGCAAAGCTCACGTGCCTTCGATTCACCAAAATGAGTTTAAAAGCGCAATGAGGCTGTTTAGAAACAATAGGGCCTCCAAAGGCGACGGTATAGCTTCTAAGCTCTAACGTGCAGGCGGCGATTCGATCTGCTGAATACAAATTCCTCGTCCTGCCCTTTGCTTTATATGTTTCATGAATCACGATATCAAATAAAGATAAAAAGGCTTTGAATGCTTTCGAGAGAGTAATAAGAGCAAATTCTCTGACCTTTCTACATTGTGCACATTTGTGTTTACATTTCCAAAGCATTTCCAGTAAGCATTTGCATTTTTCTCTACTATGAGTTGACCTTATTGATGAAATATTTTTGCGTTGTCGCTAAAAAAAAGTACTCTCGAGTACATGCATATGTAGGTATGCACATAGTATGTATGTATGTATGTAGAGTTTTGCTCTGGTTAGCAAAATTTTTGTGTGAAAACTAAAATTTTAAAAATAAAGAATTTAATTAATTTTTGAATCAATAAAACATCATTGAAATCAATAAAAACAAATTTCCCACAAAGCAATTCTAACAAAGGGTAAAGAATTTTATAGTATTTCTATTATTTTCAAACATTTAATATTAATATTTCTGGTTATAGGGTTATGGCCATTTTCCCTTTATTTGCTATTTACTTTTCAACAATAAATGTACTGAATAGTGACACTGGTCAATGGGGGTTTGGTACCAAGAAGAATTGCTAGT